TAACAACTCTGAGCTATTAGTTAAGTTCTCCCCAAGCGAGCTCGATGGGCCGAATGGCCTCCTCTCGTTTGTATAGTTCTTATGTTCTTATGTTCTTATGTTCTTAATCAAAATCTTTTCCTAAAGGATATCAAAGACTGTCTGCTCGCAGAAAAAAAACAACTTAATTAAATTCAGTGTACAGCTTTGAGTCTCAAAAACTGTGAAGGGAGCTGTGTTTATTTACATTAGAACAATACAGCATGAGATCACATTTTTGCTCTTGTAAAAGTAAATTGTGTTATACTTTAATTCACCACACTTACTCCTCCATGTGTAAACAATGCATTTAGGTGAACCATTCCGGCATTATTTTGTAAAAGTAAAATCTGAATAAACAAGAAAAATGTTTTTAAAAACTTTAAAAACCTGTAGCTGGCATAGAACCCGAAGTCAAAGTTCATTTACTAAACTCTGTGACCACATCCCACTATATGAATAAGATCCTCCCACTCTGATTTAGTATCACTATGTACATTCACAAACAAGCACACCCACACACATATAGGCAAAGCACCTGGCTGCAAGGCCTACCTGATCTGCAGGCCATGTCAACATCTTTCTCAAAGTCAGTCTGAGAATGAGAACAGCAACAAAATGTGTAAATCGCACTGGGATCATTACTTAGTTGATTTAACTAGGTAACACTCAGAGCCAAAGGGTGGTATTACCATGAGCTGCGCATGGCCATTCTGGAAGGAGCCGCCAGAATCACCATTTCCATCCTCCTGACGGTCAACTACTCTGCATTTAACCGCCTCCTGAACCTGTAACATAAAAGTCATCAGTATTCTTTAAAAGCTCTACTGCCTCATGCCCAATGGACTGATTACCATTTAATGTGAGGTTCATGTACTACTCTTGCTACTCTCCTTATGCTGTACCTCTCTACGAAGGATACAGTGGACCATGACAATGACGAAACCCTCCAGGGAGTCAAATACTGCAAAGAGAATCTGAAAAAGGGCAGAGCGGCGGTCGGTGATGGCCAGCACAGCTGACATCCAGGTGAGGGCAAGCAAGGGCAAGACCACACACGAGCTCCACAGCGATGCCCTACAGGACACAAGGGGAGGAAGCACATGAGTCAGAGTTGGTGTTAGATAAAGACATTCCAAACAAAGAGGGCAAGATTACACTGCCATCAAAGCCTACATTAAATGTGACTGTCACTGTTCATTGCAATGCCTACAAAAAATTATCGGTAATGCGGTACGTGAGATATATCTTCATCACGCCTTTATAATACATTCATAGAACATTCAGTGCCCCTTCATAATGCTTTCATAGAACATTCATTAGGAGCATGTAAGTAAACCATAACATCCTAACATACCTTAACAACTTTAATAAACATTAATAACAAACATTATACAATTATAATGTTATTATGTTATTATCATATAATATTTGTTATTAAGGTATATTAAAGCTCTTAAGGTATGGTAGGAACTTATGTATACTTACATGCCATTTATGAATGATCCTTGAATGCATTATGAATGCATTGTGAAGATGCACTGAATATTCTATTAATACTTCTATGAAGGCATCATGAAAGCGCAGTTAATGTAAAGCATTAACCACTAATCTTAATTTTTATTTGTGAATACTGAAAATATTTTAACATTAGAATTTATCATTATAAGAATTTGCATCCAATAAGAGGTAAAAGGGAGCTTACATTTTAAGCTTGATGAGTAATAGACATCTAATTAACATTCCAACACTAATTGAGTCTCCTGCAGAGTATACTTGCCCTTTCTGCTGACAGCAATTATACACAGGATTATAAATATGCACATTTATAATTCACATTTACAAGTATGCATGTATATAAGCATGTCACATATCAATCAAATAGTGCAAAAAACAAAATGAGAACAGAAGCAACAGGGGGAAGAGGAGTGAGGGTGATAGATTAGAGGTGAGTGAGGAAGGTCTGAGGACGCAAAGATAGTGACTGAGGCCTCCTACCCTGATCTGGAAGTTTCTACAGGGAAACATTTGGTAACCAGGCCTTCTCTCTGATTTTCACCTCATTAAGGTTAAAGCAGAGAAAGTATGGGCTATCCAAGCTTTATTCACACTCATAAGTATACTGTAACTGCCGCATAAGATACTTTTAAATGACTCTCCTTACACAGTAGCAGACAGTAACACAAAAACAAACTCAGCTTCTATATTATTCATATTGGTGTAATTAACTAAGGAAACAGTACTCCCTTATACTAAATGCCTCCAAAAAGCCACAGTAATGATCTAAAAAAATGCAGGCACCTTTCTGTCTACTGACTTAGAGGATAAATCAAAGTACATATAAATCACTGTTAATCCTTTGCGTCTTGCTCAAGCTCTAACCATTGTGGCATGAATTATGGATGAATAATGCCTATCATTAATAAAACCGAATCATCCATCCATAGCCCTTAATGAAAGTAAAATGGAGAAGCATCACACTTTTTAGTAACCAAATGCACAATTTTAAAATTCAAAAATTTAGCCTCGTGCAGAACTCACTTAGCCTGCTTGCTCTTTATCATTTACTCTGTCACACATTAGGCTACATTCAAACAGCATGTGGCTTGAAATTCACAACAGCACTTCGGCACTCCTATCCGTGCTTGTCCTCTGTTAAACACCATCCTTCTACCTGCATGCATTTAGTCTTTATGTGTTATTAGCTACAAATTTTCCAGTTTATAAAATGCCAAAATGTGTTAAACATTCCAACAATTTCTGCATCTCCTATAAAAAATAAAAATAAAACAATTTACTGCCTATAAATTTATGTTTTCAATAACAAACGTTATGTAGGAGGATAATTATTCCGTTTGTGTGTTGAGGTAATAGTCTTTCACAAAGGAGACCAAATAGTACTAGATGAAACCCATTCCATTTACAGGAGTAATAAATTAGCAGTAACTGCTGGCCATCCAACGCTAATCCCAAAAGAACAAGGTTTTATGGTGCTGAGCTAAGAGGTATTACATTAGCAAGCATTTAATGGCTCTATGCCATGCTTCTTTGTCACATGGAGGCTGTGTGTAAGGTCGAGAAGCTATGAAGGTTAAACTAATGACAGGAAAATTCAAACTTGATGGATTTTTTTTTGTTTTGAGTCAATGTAATTAGCCATTACCAACAGTAGACAGGTGCTACTGTACACTACAAATAAGAAAGCACAGCATTGGTACATTATGTCTATGCAGGTTCAGTTCTACAGACCAGGCCACCTAGGCTGGGGTAATACATGCACCACTCTTTGGAATGGTACCCCAAAGGGTCTCCATGCTAACAAGGGGTACCTCATGCTAACAAAGGGTTACCCAGGCTAACTAAGGGTACTGATGATTTTAGAGATATAAGGATATGGTAGAGAGTAAATATAATTTCTGGTACTTTCCCTGTCAGGAATCTCATATCCTTCCATGTACTGTACATTATGTCAGTGTGTCTTTGGTCTACTCTAACATCTCCACCCACTTGGACTTTCCCAAAACATTTCCCCAAGAAGCCATCCAGGAAGCATCCAACATAGATGCCCAAACCAGCTCAACTGACTCCTTTTCGTGCAGAGGAGCAGCAGCTCTATTTTGAGCTCCTCCTGAATATCTGAGCTCCTCGCTCTATGTCTAAGGCTTAACCCAGACATCCTGCAGAGGATAACTAATTTCTACTGCTTATATTCATGATCTCATTCTTTCAGTCAGTACCTAATGCTCATGACCATAGGTGAGGGGTGGAATGTAGACTGACTGGTAAATCGAAACTTTTCCGTCCAGCTCAGCACTCTGTTTACCACAACAGGATGGTACAGCGTCCGCATTACTGCCAATGCTGCACCAATCCGCCTGTTGATCTCACGCGGCATTCCTCCCTCCCTAGTGCTGATCCTGATCCCGGCCACCTGACACTCATCTGCAAACCACCTCAGTAAATGCTGCATGTCACAGAGCGATGATGCCACCTGGACCACATCATCCGCAAAAAAGCAAAGATGCGATCCTGAGGCCCCCCAACTGGACCCCCTCCGCTCAATGGCTATTCCTAGAAATTCTGTCCATAAAAGTTGTGAACAGAATTGGTTGAGTCCAACACCCAACACGAACAAGTCTGATTTACTACTGGTAATGCAAACTGAAGTCTTATTCCAGTGTGGCTCAGTGGGCTAAGCCTGTGTGCCTGTAATCCAAAGGTTGCTGGTTCAAACCCAACCTCAGCATGTCTGTGGGTCCTTTAGCAAGGCCCTTAATCCACAGCTCTCTGGGTGTCCCAACAGGTAGCTGCCCTTTACAGACAGCTTACTCTACAAAAGAGCAAGTTCAGGGAGGCAATTTCCCAATGGGGATCAATAACAATATTGATTATTATTTATACAGGGACCTGATGGCCCGCAACAGCAGACTCCCACACCCCATCCTCCCACAGGACCCCCTGAGAGACATGATCACATGCCTTTTCCAAGTCTACAAAACACATATAGACTGCTTGGGAAAACTCCCATAAACCCTCCAATATCCTTCTGAGGGTGAAAAGCTGATCCAGCGTTCCACGGCCAAGATTGAATCCACCTCTTTTCCTTGTGGATCTGAGGTACAACCAATGGACACACCCTCCTTTGTAGTACCCTGGCACAGACCTTCCTGGGGAGGCTGAGGAGTGTGATCCCCCTGAAGTTGGATCACATCCTCTGGTCCCCTTTCTTAAAGATTGGCACCACCACCCCAGTCGGCCAATCCAAAGGTCCCCAACCTCCACGCAACTGGTGTTCAGTGCATACACACAGACAATAGTCAGAACCTGTCCCCCAAGAAGAAGTCAAAAGGATATATTCCTCCACCTCCTGCACCAGCTCAGGCTCCTTTCCCACTAGAGAGGTCACGTTCCATGTAACTATAGTTATATTTGGTTACTGAAGATCGGTCAGCCGAGGCCTCTGCCTTCAATTGGCACCTAATCTACATTGCACCTGACCCCCACAGTACCTTCTGTAGGTGGTGGGCCCACAGGAGGATGGATCCATGTAACCCTTTCGGACTATGCTTGGCCGGGCCCCATGGGTAGTGACCTGGTCACCAGGCGCTTGCCCATGAGCTACCTCCCCAGGCCTGGCTCCAGGGCAGAGCCCCAGTCTTCCCAGTCTGGGCAGGGTCACATCTCTTTCTAATGTACTCGTCATGGGGGTCTATGTTAATCACTTAGTTTGGCTGCTCACCTAGGATCAATTTCCCTTGGGAAACCCTTCCATGGGCAATTGCCCCCCAACAACACAGCTCCTAGAATCACAGAGTCACACAACAGACCCCTCCACCACAATAAGGTGGCGATTCTTGGGAGTTGTTTGTGTGTGTGAGAGAGAGTGTGTCTAAGTGTGTGTGTATATATATATTTATATTGGTTCTTAGCAAAATAAGTAGGGGACAGATCCTCCTGGAGTTGAAGCTGACCACTTAAAACAGCCATCCATTTTCTATAATCCTTTTTCCAATGCAGGGCTGCAGTTAAAGCCCAGAACATACTCTGAACAGCATGTCAATCCATAAATGCACTAAGGGTAGCTTAGAGACACCTGCCAAAATGTTAGTAGGAAATCCATTCAAACATAGTGAGAATATGCAAACTCCACCCACAGAAAACTACAGAGGGAATCATACCCAGAGCCCAGGCGGTAAAAGACAACACTGCTACCCACAGAGTAAACACAACACCCCATGCAAACACATCATCAGCAACAGAGATGTCTTCATTCTGTTCTTCATTATATGCTTTCTCAGCCCCCCTTCTGCTGTTTCTCTGTCTAATTAACAAGGAGTGACTATAATTAAGTGCTTCATTTCAATATCAAGCACAACAGAAAGAAGCATAGAAACAGTACAATTAACTAATTTTTAGGTTAAGCATATCTTGAAAAATTTTGGTACTGTAGTTTTCTTAATGGTCAATAAAAATAGCATTCTGGGAGCTCTGCAAGACATTAAATTACTAAATATAGCCCAGAACCAGCAGGAGTGTAGGATACTCAAAATTCTGCATAAGTATCAAATCTTTATGCTACAGTGTTAGAAGCCCAGAGGGCACCTTAGCAACCATTTGAATGCTGAACCTCATATTAATGCCAACCTATCCCAATAAGCACAGGCAACCCCCTTAATGAACCTATCTCAGGAAATACAGGCGACCCTTGGATGAACCTATCCTAGGAAGTACAGGTGACCCCTTGAATGAACCTATCCCAGGAAGCACATGCAATCCCCTTAATGAACCTATCCCAGGAAGTACAGGTGACCCCATCAATGAACCTATCCCAGGAAGTACAGGTGACCCCTTGAAAGAACCTATCCCAGGAAGGGCAGGCAACTCCCTGAATGACCCTATCCCTGTGGCCTGTACTACGAAGCGGGGTTACTGGCTTATCGGGGTAACTTGTCGGAAGGTAGTCTGGGCAAAATGTAAGTGAACACATATGAAGTCCATTTAAACTGTGGTACCTTAAATCCGACAAGTTACCCCGATAAGCCAGTAAGCCCACTTTGTTGTACAGGCTTCAGGGATAGGGTCATTCAGGGAGTTGCCTGCCCTGGAAATCACTGGAAGCACAGGCGATCCCCTGAATGAACCTATCCTGGGAAGCACAGCCAATCCCCTGAATGATCCTATGCCAGGATAGACAGGCGAGCCCCTGAATGAACCTATCCTGGGAAGCACAGGCAATCCCTTGAATGAACCTATCCCAGGAAGTACAGGTGACCCCTTGAAGGAAACTCTCCCAAGAAGCACAGGCAACCCCTGAATGATCCTATGCCAGGATAGACAGGTGAGCCCCTGAATGAAACTATCCTGGGAAGCACAGGCAATCCCCTGAATGACCCTATCCCAGGAAGGACAGGCAACGCCCTGAATGAACCTATCCTAGGAAGCACGAGGAGCCTTCCTACCATAAGAGATAAATACTTATTCTCAGCTTGCCTTGCAAGAATAAGAGGAAGATAAGGGGACAAAATCAAACAGAGGTGTAGGAGAAAAGAGAAGAGAGGGTACAACAAGAAAGGAAACATAACCAGAGGAAATAATTAGTGGGACTAACATGGCGTTACTGGTAGCTGTGGTGGACACATCAGCCGACGAGATTACTCCGCACTTGGCACATTTGAGCGTCATACTGTACAGAGGGACTGTCACCTGACTGCGGAAGTCAAATCAACACACTGAAACACACACACAAACTACGAGCCACTAGACACAACAGCTGCAGTATCCCCTTCCACTGTACCTTCTCTTGAGACAGGGAGATTGTTAATGGGGTGGGTGGGAGGGCATGGGGTATTGCTGATAGCACTATTTTATGATTACCCAAATTCCTCCTTGTTTCAATTGACAAAACTCAGATTATAAACAATTAGGCAGGCAGATACATACTATAAATAAATTCACCAGATTGCATGTTTTTGCACTGTGAGCCTATCCCAGCCAGTAGCAGAAATGTAAAGTAATGAAGTGCAAGTAGGTTTTGCTGATTTGTACTCTAGTTCAGTATTTTAAGTAGTTACTGTACAACTTTTACTTTCACATTTTTGAGCCAGATAACGACTTTTTACTCCGAGACATTCTGCATGGCTATTGTATGCAGAACACCTGAGTAGGGCTACATGATTCTGGATATTTTTTTCACTCAAAATTGAGATTGAGATTTTCTCTAATGATTTCTGAGCAATATATTCTTTCTTTCTTTCTTTCTTTCTTTTTCTTTCTTTCTTTCTTTCTTATTATCATTTTACATTAAACATTATCTTTATGAAGATGAAACAAACAACATATGGTGATGCACAATACAGTGGTTAACAAACCAAAATTGTCATCCAATACTTAAACTTTATAAATATTCAAAGTTAGCTGCACTAGCTATTGCTGAAATAATGGAGGTGATCACATTTGATAATCAACCATTTCCCATAGTGGAGGACACATGTTCTCATTGGCTCAATCACCACTTATATGAGGTCTCAAAAGTACCAGCCCACGAAATGTTTCAAATTCATTATTAAATTTGGCCCGTAGATTGATCTTTTGTTTTGTACAGAATAAAAATGACATCCCTCTAACTCCACCAGCAAGTTCGGCAAGTTCCACCACTTTTTCTGATTAAAAGGAAAATTTGTAACTTTTCCTTATTGTGATGCACTCAAGTTCCAGTGCCATATTCAAACCTGTCTTGAGTCATGTCAATCAGATAGGATGCTTGTTGCAAGAACAATAGAGCTTAATGTATATTACTTTTTATTCAAATACTTTTAAAGCCCAGTATTTCTTCCTTTTACTTATGTACCATTTTACTGGATGACTTTTACTTTTGCTTGAGTAACATTTTGGTGTGGTATCTGTACTTTTATGTAAGTATGAAAATTAAGTACTTTTTCTACCATTGGCCAGTACAGGGCACAAGGCTGGGATACCCCGCAGATGCAATGCCAGTCCATCGCAGGGCACATGCAAAATCATAATTTATGGTCAATTTAGAGACAGACTAGATGAACTGCATGCCTTTGAACTGTAGGAGAAAAGCAGAGCTCTAAAGTAAAGCCTGCATAACACAGGGAGAGCATGCTGGCTGCTGTCAAAGAGAGCAGAGGCAAAATTCTAACCCCCAACACTGCAAGCCACTGACCAGCTGTCATCAGAATCATCCTCATCCTAAGCAGGTAAAAACACACACGAGCACAGTTCTTATATTCCTATCAATGTGATGACTTTCCTCTCATTTCTATGAGCATAACCCTAATCCTAACTATGACAATCTTACCCCCTACCCAGCCTTAACGTTAACCATGAGTAACCAACCGAAATTCTAGACTTTTGGCATTTTTTGACTGTGATTTAAAAAAAAATAAAATTAAAGTTTACATTGTGGGGAGCTGAAAAATGTGCCCACAAACAAAAATGTTACAGATTTTACCACATTATGGGGACAATTGGTTGCCACAATGTGGTAAACACACACACACAAGTTGGTCTTCCTATCTAAATGGGGACCATCCATTCATTTCTATGGGAAAAACCCTAATCCCAATCAC